TAAGCCGCCTTATCTTATTGATGGCATTTTGATCTCACAGCCCTGATGGACTAGAACAGGAATTGGTCCCTGGAGTGGGGTGCTGCTTTAACCACACCTACACCTGGGGAAGCGGCTTTGCACCTGGGTCATGGGCAGAGGCTGGGAGAGTGTGGGGTGCAAGCTGGAAGGAGCCCACATTGCCCCGAGTGGACCATTAAAATAAATCCTGGTGAGGGCTCAGAAGGAGGAGAGGGGGGCTGGTGACAGCCCCCGTCTTCTTAGAGAACACCCTGGTGGTCGGGAGCAGAGTGTGGTGGCCTGCAGACATGACCTGCTTGGAAACCGGAGGAGAGGCCATCCTTGAGAGAACGTGCCCGAACTGTGTTTGCGATCCGGGGTTTTATGGCAGGTGGAGCTTGCAGGTGATGAAATTGGACACCTGAGCCCAGGATGGAAGGTGTGGCTTGGCTTCTTCCTGTGCTCATAGTAACATGCCAATGGAGAGAGGCGACCTACAGACTGTTCATCAGAGGGAGGCAGAACTGAAACATTGGAAACCTCTCAGCCTATCCACCGTGGAGACAACGAGGAAGCCTGTTCAGAAGAGAAGGCCAAGGGTGTGGCTGATGACCGTTTGATAAAGGGATCCACGTGGGTGTGAGCCAGACTTCATTCACCTCTGTAGGAAGACAGCAAGCTGGAACCGAAGAGGAGGGACAGGGAAGGAGTTGAGGGAAGGTGGCTAGAAATACTAGATTTTATGGGATGGACCGTGGGACCGTTCGGCCACCTGTGTGCTGTTCTTCAAGACAAGGGCAGGACCCCAGGAATGATTCAGAGGCCATCGGGGGGATTATTTTCCAGCCCTGGGGTTTAGTGTGGTTTGCCCCATTGGGTTTTGGGCTCCCCTTGGACCCGTTCTCCCTTGTTTCTCCTTTTGGGAAGGGAGTGTCAAACCTGGGTCGGTCCCACTGTGGTATTCCAGAAGCCTGTAACATTTTCGATCTCACATGCTCCAGGCTGGGGCCTTGCTCGTACCCGATGTCGATATCTAGATGAGGCTTTGGACTGGGACTTTCAGGTTGAGGACACGTGAGAAGGGTTTAGTGGGATTAGTGTCCCTTATAAAAGAGACCCCAGGGACGCCTGGGTGGCTCAGTCGTTAAGCGTCTGCCTTCGGCTCAGGTCATGGTCCCAGGATCCTGGGATCAAGCCCCGCATCAGGCTCCCCGCTCGGCGGGAAGCCTGCTTCTCCCTCTCTCACTCCCCCTGCTTGTGTTCCCTCTCTCGCTGTCTCTCTCTGTCAAATAAATAAATAAAATCTTTAAAAAAATAAAAAAATAAAAAAATAAAAAAAATAAAAGAGACCCCAGGGGGTGCCCATCGAGGGCACACTGAGAAGCCTGCCAGCAGAAGGAGGGCTCTCCCCCGACCACTCTGGCACCCATTGTAAGAAATAAATGTTTGCTGGGACTAAGCCACTCTGTGGTACTTTGTTCCGGCAGCTCAGCCCAGACGGACCGGGACCCACGTAGATATTCTCTGGTCTGTTTTCGCTTCTCATTATGTCTGTGAGATCCGGCCTTGGGGTTGCAAGAAGCCACACCCGCTTTTCACGATTGTGCAGTATTCCATGAGGCCGTCTGGGTGTCTCCCATTCACGATGGCTGGGGGTGTACACGCCCGCGTTCCCCGGGGGCCCACAGCCAGGGTAGGGCCGCTGGTCCCCGTGTGTGCATCTCCGGCTCTGCCCGGACGTGTCAGCCTCATTCCCAGAGTGGTTGCGCCAGCGCTCACGCCCCTCATTAAGTTTTTTATGTAATAATTTATGGAGATGAAACGCACATAATGTACAATTAGTCATTTTAAAGTGATCAGTTCAGTGGCCTTTCGTGCCTTCACAGTCCCGTGCCCCCACAGCGAAACCTGCTCCCCCTTAGCGGCCACTCCCCCCCTGCCTTCCAGCCCCCCGGCGCCCGCTGACTGGCGGTCTGCTCTCCGTGTCTGTGCACTTGCCTCTCGAGACGCTTCGCACGAATGGGGTCTTACGGTCTGCGTCCTCTCGTGTCTGGCGGCTTCCCCTCGGCACCGTTTTCGAGGTCCATCGCCTTGTGGCAGGTATCCACTGTGGGTAGAGCTGTGGAGAGCGTGGGTGTCCGCGTGCCTCTGTGGGCCTGTGCGCACAAGTGCGTGTGCAAGAGTGTGGGCACGCGTGGGCACACGCGTACGATCCCGCGTCGCGCTGGGACTCTGCACCCGGAACGGAGGTTCTGGATCCAGGCAGGAGGCGCCGGCTCCCCGCTCCTGGCTCTGCGTCCCGCTTGCTGTGTGACTCACGGCAAGTTCCTCCCGTCTCTGGGCTTTGTGAGGCTCCAGTAAACGGGGACAAGCGCACTCGCCCCGCAGGCTCGAGGTGTCAGCTGCTTTGGGCGGGGTGCGGCCCGGCGGCCCCCAGGCGCGCCTCGCGTTGGGTCACCGTGGGGACGGCTCCCCCTGGCTCCGGGCTCAGGACTCGGGTCTCCTTTTCCGGAGTCGTGCGCCGCTCCTCCAGGCCTGCCCGCGTCGCTGCTTGTCCGTACTGTGGGCTCCGGCCCCCCACCTTCCAGTTCTCGGGGACTTGGTCGGGACGTGCTGGGGGTGGAGGGCTGGGTCGTGGCGTGCAGGGAGCCTCCTCACTAACCATTGCTCCCGTATCCACGCCGGCGCCCGAGACCTTCAGGCCTTCCCGAGCCTCGCTGGTGGCGATGGGTGCGGTTTTGATGTGCATTTCTGAGTTTGAGCTATTTTTCTTTTGTATGTCAGTGGGGGTGCAGGGTCCCAGGCTCAGAGTTTGAGGGGCCTGTTGGGGGTCACACAAAGTGGGGGTAGACTCCAGGCCTCGGGCTTGGTTTAATCAGAAGTCTCAGGCTCCCGATGGCGGAGGTCAGCCAAGCCTGGAGTGGCAGAGGACGTGAGGCTCTCCGGAGAGCGCTCGGAGCAGGAGGCCAGCGTGTGTCCAGGACTGGGAGAGAATGTGACTGACCCACCCCCCGTCCCCTTCCTGCTGTCCCAAAGTGACTTGGGCGTCCCCGCCTGCTAATAATGGGGTGCAACTGGGTATGCGTGTACTAATTTCCCAGGGTCTCTGTTCTCACGTGGCCATCCCCTCTGTGTGTCTCTGTGTCCTCCCCTCTTCTTATATGGACATCTGTCACTGGATTTAGGATTAACTCATCTCCAGATCCATAACTTGATTCCCTCTACAAAGATGCTGTTTCCAAATAGGGTCACATTCCGAGGTCCCAGCTGGACAGGAATTCTGGGGGACACTATTCAACCCACCCTAACTTGGTGTGTGCCCGATCCTCGGACCTGCAGATTTCCAGGTTCAGATCCAGCTCCAAGTTCTTGGGTTCTCTGGGAACTCGGTTTTCTTCTGGAAGCCACCCTGGACCTGTGCAGTGGGGCTGGTTTCCTCAGCTCACACGGCCTCAGCTGGTCCTGTTTCTCATGACAGTGGGACTGGACGTGCTCGCAGGGCCAGCGCGTGCCCAGAAAGCCCCTGCTGACATCAGAAATGAGATAAAGAAAGAAAAACAAGGGCATGATTTTTGAAAATTGAAAGCATGCAAAAAACTAGTAGAAGCTCAGAAGAAGGCACAGCATGAAAAGTCACCGCTCCCTACCCTGACGATGGGTCCCGGCTCCAGGGGGGCTGCCTAGTGACTTGGTTTACTAGTCCCTTCCTGAAAACAGTGTGTGTGTCCACAGGGACCGGTACATGCTTCCTTCCCAGGCACACACGGCGCATGCCCTGCGTGCCTTTCTCCGCTTTGGGTTTGGCACCTGGGGGTGGATCTTGGAGATCCCTGCTCTGGCACGTCTGTTACCTCGAAGGGGCCCGGCCGGAGGCCTTCCCTCCACCCTATGGGCTTGGGAAACAGAACGTTGCGAAGGCAGAACTGTGGTTCCCTAGTTCCTGCCAGAGCCTTGCGGACGTGACCCAGGAAGCCACAGGTTGGGATCCATGTTAGAAAAGGCTTCTTGCTGGAAACACCTGTGTGTCTTCCGGAACTTTCTTGGGTTGCCTGGGGCTACCGTAGCAAACCGTCACAGACTTGGTGGTTCAAAGCAGTGGAAATCCACCCTGTCACAGCTCTGGAGACCAGAAGTCTGAAATCAAGGTGTTGGCAGGGCCGCGCTCCCTGCAGAGGCTCTGGGGAAGCCTTGCTCTTCTGGGGGCTCCAGGTGGCCCTTAGCTGGAGGCCACATCCCTCCAATCTTTGCCTTCCTTTCCACATGACCCTTCTTTGAATCTTCTCTTCTGCTATAAGGACACTCGCCATTGGATTTGGGGCCCACCCGCGTGATCCAGGATAATCTCATTTTAAGATCCTTAACTGGATCGGCGGAGACCTTTCTTCCAAATAAGGTCACTTTAAGGTTCTAGGTAGACCTGTCTTTTGGGGGGGCACCGTTCCTCTCCCTACAGGAAGGATGATGCTGACAACAGCAGTGAGCAATGACTGAGTGCTTGCTGTATGCCAGGCACCAAGCCGCGCGGGGAACAGCTTATCAGATCCTCACAGTGCCCCCATGGTGCGATTATGCGTGTTTTCCAAGTGGAGGCACAGAGGCTCAGAGGGGTCAAGAGACTGCCAGAGGTCACACAGCTGGTGGCCGAAGGGCAGCCCGGACCAATACCTGTGCTCTTCACTTTTGTTCCCAGGGATGTAGCCCAGATCTGGTTGGAGGGGTGTTTTGTGTGGCCCCACACAGCAATTAAAAAATTTATTTAAGTAAATTGGTAGCCAGCATTTAAAGATGGGTAGATTTATATGGAAATCTAGATTTCTAGGAGTTCATGACACAGTTCGTTGGGGTCTGTTCTTCGGTGAGCTGAGGTCTGCTCATCTCAGCAGGACGATGCTCTCCAGCTGTGTGGCTGTGGGCAAGTAACACTTGTCCTGGCCTTGGCTTCCTCATCTGTAAAATGGGGACAGTCCTAGCCCTGGCCACGCAGATGTTGCTGCGAGGGACACACAGGTTGGTAAATGGGGTGTGAGCAGGCCCCGCCCTGCATACTCAGCTGTGTGTTGGCTGCGACAGGCCGGCCCTGTCGCCATCAATTTCCAGTCTGTTTCTGGAGTAAATTCAGAGTTTGTTCACAGAGGCCGTCCAGGGTCCTGGGTGATGGAAGAGTTCTTAGAGGAAATCTGGGCCATCGGGAGCCCCTGGGGGTTCTGACGGCGCTGAAAGCCTTAAGCCCACCGCAAGCATCCTGCCCCAGTTTCCCCATCTGTCAGGTGAGGTGCTGTGAGCGTCCACACGGCCGAGGACTGGGTGAGCACGGTGCTTTGGACCCTGCCCGCTCCTGGCGAGAGCCTGGGGATGGTGACAGTGGGGGTGGCGAGGCAGGGCGTGTCCTGGGCACCTGGAACAGGAGGGTGGCAGACCAGCGTGGCCCGGGGAGGTGGCAAGGAGGGGCTGTAGCGGGGGACACGGGGCGGGGAGGCTGTCCTTGGTGGGCAGCCTGGCCCTCACCATTCTCTCCTACAAGACGCAAGGACTGACGTCGCTGACCTCCAGGCTCCCTTGTGGCAGCGAGGGGGGGTTAGTGTGGGGGAGCTGTCAGCAGTCATGGCGACCTGTGTCCTTGGCGGGGAGGGAAGGAAGGCCGGGGGCTGGGACAGAGTCCAGCTGAGGCTTGAGATATCCTTCAACCCTGGGGGACAGTGTCGGGAGGGGCTTCTCGAACCCTCTTCATGGGTTTGGACGTACTAACAAGCAGCCTTGCATTTCTGCAGCATCTCTGACTTTTCGGGAGCTCTCACACCTGTGGTCTAGTGGACCGGCCGCGTGGGAGGCTGGGCAGGCTCCAGGTGACTGCAAGGTGGGTAGAAGCAGCACTAGCAGGGGGCCCCCGCCTCCAGCCAGGGGGGACGCTTTGCATTCATCCTCAGCTGCCTCCTTAGCCACTCCGAAGGGCTCAGGGGATTTCAGTCCCCGTGGATGGATGGGACAGGCGGGTGGAGAATCGGCTCTGGGCAGCCCTGCTGTGAACCAGCTGAGGGAGTGATGCAGACAGGGTGGGTGGGGGGAGCAGAAGGAGGCCATGTGCTGTGAGAAGGAGGGGTGCTGGGCTCCTGAGTGATCGGGAGGGTTGCTCATTCCTTTGGCACGTTTGCTGAGCACCTGCTGTGTGCTGGGCCTTGAGCAGTGTGGGGCTGCCGTGTGGACAAAGTGACCGGGATCCACTCTCAGCTACTGACATCGTAGCAGGAGGGACGGCCCGTGCACAAGCAAATAGAGACGCTCACAAATGGCGTCTGAAGGGAGCAAGGCGGGTGAGTTGACCTCAGGGTCTGGTGGGGTGGTTGGGCGGGCCTTTCTGAGGAGGAGTCAGGCATGGGAGCAGCTCGCCGGGCAGAGGGCACAGCAGGTGCAAAGGCCCGGAGACAGGAAGTTGCTTACCAAGTGGTGGAGGAGGAAGCAGGCCAGTGGGGCTGGGGAGGGGGAGAGGCAGGCTGGGGCCCTAGAGGACGTGGTGAGGGGTTTAGATTTGGTATCAGTTCGTTGGGACGCCTTTGGAAGACAGGAATGGATTTGAGATTTCTTCTGCAGGGAGAGTCACTGGGTTGTGCCAATGGACTGTTCTTGGGGTGTGAGGGAAGGAGATCAAGGACAGCTCTCAGACTTCTGTTTGAGGGGCGTGAGGCTGTCTTCCAAGACAAAAAGACCAGGTAAGGGGGGCGATCAAGAACAGATGGACAATGTGGCCTTAAACCTGGCCTTAAATTCCTGGTAGGACAACTCAGCAAAAAAAAAAAACAGGCCAAGGACTTAATAGAGATTTCTCCGGAAAAGATGCACAAGTGAATGCAAATGAAAACCACGGCGACCCCACCGCACACCCGTCAGGATGGCTACTACCCAAAACTGGAAAATCGCCAGCGTGGGCAAGTGTATGGAGAAACTGGAGCCCTTGTGCACTGTTGGTGGGGATGTGGCATGGTGTGGCTTCCGCGGAAAACCGGGCACAGATTCCTGGGAAAATTAAACGCAGAATTACCATATGACACAGCAATTCTCCTTCTGGGCATATGCCCCCCAAAAACTGAAAGCTGGGACACGAGCAGATTATCTGCACACCAATATTCGTAGCCGTGTGACTCCAGCCACTCAGGGGTCCACGGACAGAGGAGCGGGGAAAGTGAGCCCCTCCATCCACTGGAATGTGAATCAGCTTCGAGACAAGGCCGTTCTGCCCCCTGCACCCCCGTGGAGGAGCTCAGAAGACACGGTGCTGAGTGAGGAGAGCAGCCGGCCACGAGAGCACACGCACCGCAGGATTCCACTCCCGCGAGACAGCCAGAGGAGTCCTGGTCACAGAGACAGGACGCGGGATGGGGGCGCCAGGGGCCGGGGGAGGGGGCCGGGGCGCTGGGGTTTCCTGGGGACAGAGTCTCCGTTTGGGCAGATGAGAAAGTTCTGGAGGTGGATGGTGAGCCCGGTTGCACAACAACGTGAATTTGCCTGATGCCACTGAAGTGTGCACGTAAAAACAGTGAAGATGGTACATTTTATGCTATTTAAAAAAAAATCATGATGGGGTTTCACCTGAGGGGGCGCTGGGTTCGGCGCTGTGGTCAGATTACAGCATGCTGAGTCTCTTGCAAAAGAGCGAGCCTTTGAAGGAGGCAGCCCTGAGCTCCTGATTCCTACGAACTCAAACCACGGTTGCCCCATTTTATGAGGCCTTGGCAGGCTCCCCGGCGCATTCTTGAACGGGGACCAAGGCGAGCGAAGGAAGGCTCATTTAGTAATAGTTCTGGTGGCTCGTTGACAACGAGGTGCCTTCTTCAGAGCAGGTCCCGGGTCCCTCCCGGCTCTCTGCACGGCCGCCGGGGAGGAGGGAGAGGACACCCTGCGGCCGAGCGGGGGGCCGGGGTGGCGAGGACAGGGGCCGGTGGACTTTGTCTGGAAAGGGACACATAGTAAATATGTTGGGCTCTGCAGGCCAGACAGGTCCTGTGTCAGCCGCTGGAGTGCAGAGGATACACCCACGGGAGGGTGAGGCTGTGTGCGCGACGACGTTCTTTACGGGCACTGAAATGTGAATTTTATGGAACTTTCACGTGTCATGAAATAGCATTCTTCCTGTATTCTTTTCCCCCCAACATTAAGAAATGTAAAAGCAGGTGCACCTGGGGGGCTCCGTCGGTTGGGTATCTGACTTCGGTTTGGGTCATGATCTCAGAGTCCTGGGATTGAGCCCCCGCATCGGGCTCCCTGCTCAGCAGGGAGTCTACTTCTCCTTCTGCCTCTGCCCCTCCCCCCGCTCATGCTCTCTCTTTCTCTCTCATGAATAAAAAAATCTTAAAAAAAAAGAAAAGTAAAACTGTTGTTAGCTTCTGGGATGAATGGAAGCAGGCATCAGGACAGAATTGGCCTGGGGGCTGCAGTTCGCTGGACTCTTCCTTGCTTGAAAACACCCCGCTTTGTTATTGGGAGTGGAGCGAAGGAATCGAAGGGCTGCTTATTCTCTGCCTGACGCACGTGGAAAAGTGGGGCCCTAGGGTGGTCTGTGCCTGCCAGAAAGAGTGTGGACAGGTGGACTGCCGGATTTCATCACGGCGGTGGAATTAGGGGGTCCAGGTGAGGCTCTGATTTGAGGGGTGGAGGGTAGGATTGGGCTTGATCCGCCTGGGGACAGGGGTCTCCCCACTCATCTGTGATCCTCACTCTTCCATACCTGTGGGGAGCCTGTCCTGAGACAGAAGATAGGGTGGTTAGAGCACAGGATTTGGGGCAGACTGGGGTTTGTGACCCTCTGCCTCTGCGGGGTTTGTACCCTTGGGCAAGTGAGTGGTTTAAAAATCTCATTGTGCCTCAGTTTCCTCATCTATAAAACAGAACAAATAATGGTACCTGCCTCACAGACTAATTGTCAGGTTTAAATGAAAGAAAACATTGCTTCAGATGGGATGTTTTGGGCTACAAGCAACATAAAAACCTGCTTCCAAGTGGCTGGTACAATACAGATGTTTGTTATCGTGCTTCATAAGAGACTGGAGATGGTAGGTGTTTCCAGATTTGTTCAGCAGTTCAATAATGTCAGGGCACTGGGTCAGTGTGTGGGTGCTTTCTTAGTCTTGTCCTCATGGTGTTATGATGGCTGCCACAGCGCCAGACATCACACCATCCCATACATCATTCAAAGCCTGAAGGAGGAAATTTAGGGCTTTCTACCCAATACTGGAAGCAAGTCAAGTTTCTCTTAGTTGAGGGATGGGATAGAGGTGGGCTTTGGGTGAGCAGCAACACGCTCTGCGTGTGCGCCAAACATTTAGCACGTGGCCTGGCCCCCAGAAAATGCTGCCATCCCCGTTGACATTAGCCTACGACCATTGGGCTTACAGATTCTTCACAGCTGAACATACCCAGATCAAGAAACAGCAGTGCCCAGAATCCCCTGTGCTCCCCCCTAGTCACTACCTGCCCCAGGGGTAAGCACTACCCTGAGTTCTTACAGCGTAGATTGGTTTCAGCGGGGTTTGTCCTTGATCAGGATGGCATCACACAGCGGGCACTCCCGCAGGCTGGCTACTTCCGCTCGACGTTGGCTCTTCCTCCTCACGGCTGGGTTAGTATACCACCCTGGGCGTGCTGGTTCACCTTCGGGTCGTTCCCAGTTCGGGGCCCCCAGGAATAAAGCTCTAGGAACATTTGTGTGCACGACTTTGTGTGGCCATGTGTTCTCATTTCTTTCAGGCAACACCCAGGAAGGGGATTAGCAGGATGTGGGGTGTGTGTGCGTTCTGCTTTGGTGGATATTGCCCGACAGCACTCCCAACGTGGTTGTACCCATTGACCGTCCTGCCGGTGGTATGCGGTGTCCAGATGCACCCTAGCGCACGTCTGCAGATCCGCCTGATGCCCCTGAGCTCCTCCGATGGCGTATCTGAGTCCTTTCAGATTGACAGATCTGCTCTCTCACTTGGCGCTCAGCTCCCGTCCATGCACTTTCCCCCCATAAGTAAGCGCCAGCTTGGAGCATCATAGGTGCTCAGGCAGGGTTGGAATGAGCGAGGAGGGACTGCTGTATTCTCATCTCGAGGGTCTGGGATGCAGGGGCTGCGTGCAGACTCCGGCCCCCGTGAGGGCCGACAGGCGGCAGAGGTGACCGGGACAGCTTGGTGTGAAGGGACCGGGAGCTGTGGGGCCTGTGGTGGCCGGAGAGCAGGCCCCCCAGCCAGCTCGGTTCCTGAAGCCTGGGGCCGTGTGGTGAAGCACATCTTCCCGGTTTTCAAAAGTTGCTGGAAATACGGCCTTTATCTTGCCATTTAAAAAATATTGTCAAGAGATTCAAATGTTTTGGAATACCATTTGATCCCAAACTCTTCCACTGGCCGAATCTGGCCCATGGGTGGACAGTCGGCTTCAGGAAGTTGGGGGTTTCAGGCTATGGGTTTTTGTTTTTGTTTTGGAGGGGAGGATGGTGGGAGAGGGCATTTAAGATATTTTGGGTAATTTTTAAAAACTTAGAAAACATTTCAGACATACGTAAAAGTAGAACATGTCATGACTCCCGTGTGCCCCTCACCTGCTTCCACAAACATCGAGTCGTGTGTCCTGAGATTTGTCTGTCCCCCCGCAAACCGTTTTCCCTTTCCCGAGTTACTCTGAAGTGTATGTTTGACATTGTTTCCTCTGTGTCCCTAACACGGTGGTTCTCTAACTTTATCTACCAGCAGAGTCCCTGGGGGGGCTTGCTGACACACAGATGGCTGGGCCCCACCCCCAGAGTCTGAAATGGGGCCCGAGAACCAGCATGTCTAACAGGTTTGCAGGGGATGCTGATGCTGCTGGTCCAGGGACCCCACTTGGAGA